GGTCCACCCCAAGCCTGTACTGATGCATGGGGTTGTTCCTCCCCAGGTGCAGGACCCTGCACTTGCCCTTGTTGAACCTCATCAGGTTCCTCTCTGCCCAACTTTCCAGCCTATCCAGGTCACGCTGAATGGCAGCACAGCCTGCTGGTGTGTCTACCACACCTCCCATTTTGGTGTCATCAGCAAACTTGCTGAGGGTACATTCTGACTCTTCATCCAGGTGGTTGATGAAGAAGCTAAACAAGGCTGGGCCCAGTACTGACCCCTGAGGGACACCACTTGTTACCAGCCTCCAACTAGACTCAGTGCCGCTGACGACAACCCTCTGAGTTTGGCCACTCAGCCAGTTCTCAATCCTCTTCTCCGACCACTCATCCAGCCCACACTTCCTGACCTTCCCTAGGAGGATGTTATGGGAGACTGTGTCGAAAGCCTTGCTGAAGTCTAGGTAGACAACATCCACGGCTCTTCCTTCATCTACCCAGCCAGTCATGTCATTGTAGAAAGCTATCAGATTGGTCAGGCACAATTTCCCCTTGGTGAATCCACGCTGACTACTCCTGATAACCTTCTTTTCCTATTGAAAGTCTCCTTCAAGAAAGGCTGTTTGCAGAGGTCCTGCTTCCATGCATGAGCCAGTACTGGACATTAGGCACATTTAATGAGAGATTGTTTCAAAGAAGTCTGTGCACTGATGGTAAATAAGCTCCTCTGAGAGTCTGCTGATGTTAATGATGACATATGGTGCAGGAGAGGAAATACGAAGATGCTCTACCTAATGACTGAAGATAACAAGCTGATCCTTCCATGGCCTCGGCCACTCAATTTGTCTACTTCCCACACAAATGCCTCCATGTCTGTGGCTGAGCCTCCCCGCACATGTCCCAGGCTCCCATAACCAAGCCACCAGATCACTGCCACCCCCTCCGGACCACCTCTTTATGACCTACCTCTTTACCCGAAACTAGTGAGCAAATGATCATTTGGGCTAGGCAACATGTAACGGTCATGAAAATTGACCAGGGTCTGGGTCTCCATCCATGCTTATTTGGTTGTGCCTTCCCTTTCATACTTCACTTAACACTGGTCATCTCAGACTGCACACCTGTTGGGAAATGGATGGTGTCTGCCTATGTTTTGATAGCACCCATAACTGGAGTCTGGCGACATGAGTGTGGAATAAATCAGAATAATTCAGTGATAACTTCATTAATACTTTTGTTTTACCAGAAACTAAATCTTAGGTACTGATGACCAAGGATGCAATATTCTATCAGTAACCAAGGCAAAAGGATAAACATCCACTCAGCATCTATAAGACACTCCCAGAAAGATTCCCCAAAGAGCTATCAGACCACGGATATTCACTGGCCCTAGAGAAAGCTCCTGCAAGAACGACAGACCTAGCACAGGACAGTCGACCAAGGACCTCTGCACCCAGATAGATTTTTCTATTTCCAACAGTGTCCTGCAGGAAAAACAGGAGTAGCCAACAGCCTCAGGTGAAACCTCTAGTCTAGAAATTACTCTGTTCTTCTTTACGTGTGCTTGACTTGCTCTTTTACTCCCTCTGATGAATAGTTTCTGCCAGGTTCAGCAACTGAATGTCCAGGGATAAAGATGCTCTGCTCAGTTTCTCTGCGGAAAACTTGGGAGCTCCCAAAATATGCTGGGAGAAACCGCCATCGACCTGTGAAAAGCTGAACAAAACCCAGGCAAGACCAAAGCGCCAATGGAGAGCATCATGATCCATGATCTGCAGACACCGGGTACAGACATTATCAGCACGTGTGTGTCTCCTCCTCTGGAGCCACACTTGCTCGCCGGGCCGGGCAGCGAGCCTGAGGAGTGCAGGTCTCCGTGACATGCTTTCTCCGGGCTGCCTCTTGCTGGGCAGCGGGGCAGACACAGCACGGAGCAGGGCCCGAGGCCAGCAGCAGACCAGAGAGGGGCAATGCCGGGTGCTCCCAGCGGTGTGTGACTTGTTCCCATCCCCATGGAGAACTTGGCTCGGTGCTTTTTGCTCCTTCCCAGCACTGGCATGAACGGTGGCTGAGCTGCCTCCTGCCCCCGGCAGGGCTGTGGGCAGGAAACGCAGGACTTTCTGCCAGGCTGTGTCACGGGTGCTCCCAGGCACTGAAACCTGCTGCGGGGGCTGCCGGGGAGCCAAGACGTGGAGGTGGGCTGGTGGTGGGGCTTGCATGGGTGCTGCCACCCTGCTCCCCCAACCACTGAGGCAGAGGGGCTGAAAGGGCCCCGGTTGCTCCCAGGCACTGAAACCTGCTGCGGGGGCTGCCGGGGAGCCAAGACGTGGAGGTGGGCTGGTGGTGGGGCTTGCATGGGTGCTGCCACCCTGCTCCCCCAACCACTGAGGCAGAGGGGCTGAAAATGCACACAGGTGGCATGCCCCCTGTGCTGACCTCCTCTGAGGTCCACCCGTGTCTGGCTTTGGCACCCAGTGTTCCCTTTTGTGGCCAAAACCCTGGTGGCAAGGCAATCTTGCCAAGAGAGCCCAGGCGGCCAGTCTCCTCCCGCCCCACACCGCCGCCCGGACCCACGAAACCCCGCTAAGCCTCTCCCTGCTCCTACCCAACTGCGGGTGCCAAAGCCGGAGGAGAGGTGAGGCCCTGCTCCTCATGCACAGCTGGGAGGGAGCTGCCCCTCCACCTCCACTTTCAGCAGCAGCCCAGCGTGCGCCGGGGCAGGTGTCCAGGCAAGAGCGGGCAGCTCTGCCTGCAGCGGGCCGGCTTCTCAGAAGCCGTCGGAAGCTGAGGCCGTCTCACCCTGCAGGTGCTCAGCTCTCACGCTGCATTGAAAGGTCATAGAGCACAAAAGCAGACGGGAGCAGCCCCCCGTTCCCTCCATGCCTCCCATCCCCTGCGCCTCCCCATGCGCCGGCCCCGGCACCCCGGGGTGCGGGGCGCCCTGGGTGGCATGGCAGGGGCG